TCAAGTTGTGCCCTTCAATCCTTAATGGAATTGAAATCCTTTGTTATTTCATCTGAATCAATCTTTTCGGCAAGCTCTTTTTAAAATGTAGACAACCATTGAATCTGCTAGAAATTCACTCTCTATCTTTGACACGCCCCAACCCCGATACCCCAACATACCAGGGTAGGCACGTGCTAGCCCACGCCCAAAGGTGACGAAACCATTTTAAACATGCAAACAATTACAAGATAAGTAGTTATAACGATTATACCAAAGCAGGAATTTGTTCAGAGCATACAACTAATTAGAAATAATAGGAAAGAATCACTATAAAAAGATATGAATAAGGGAATGATACCTACACTAAGAAGATTCAAGGATACCTATATCAACATGCCATGATGCCGGGATCATGTGCCTCGATCCTAACTCCTGAGGAGGCGCAAAAACTGAAAAGGTGAGTGGACCAAAGTTTATATTAATAATACTAATAATAGGAAAACATTTTATTTATGAACATAATAACCCCTTATTTTGAAAACATATATAATACTACATATAGGCTTTATGAAAAACCCTAGCATGCCATGAAAATCCATTTAGAAGGTAGATATGTAAAATCCAGTGCTTGATAATGAAAATGTCGTCGCCCAAAGGCAAATTTGTAAATCTTGTCAGTGAAGTACTCAACTAAGGCTATTATAGTTGGCCGAAGGTAGTACATGTCCATCACCCCGAAGGTGAAGCTAAATAACTGTCTATCACCCGAAGGTGAAGCTGTATGAAATAGCATAACATCCATACCGACACTAGCCATGGCTAGTGAAGTTATCTGACACTGCTTTCGACAGTGAACTGGGGGTATACAATATATCATATCTTACTCCTCCTCATCATCTGTGTCCTATGGCCATACACATCTATACCCGTGGTGTGCGGATGTGCCGTATGATAACCCACTAGATTAAGTACCAAAAACATATCTCAAAACTCATATCAAACCCGGAGCTCACTAGCTCAAAGTCTCATCTCATAAATCCAAGATAAATTGTATTCATGAAATCCATAAAACAATTCATGTTCGTAAAACCGTAATATAAATCGTATTTGAAAACCATAGAAATCCATATATGTAAATCCAATAATTCAATACCTAATAAAACGTAATTTCGATAAATCAAACTATTTCGTAAACCATAATTATAAAAGTCCATAAAGCATATTATAAATCATATTCAAATCATGAAATATGGAATGCATGCTAGGCTAATATTTTATAACAATATATAAGTTTAGAAGGGGTCCACTCACAAGTTTTCCATTGCCCGAAAGCCGCTCGAACCATCAAGAATGAGGTCACTTCCACCGATGCACCTAAACACAATTAAAGGTCGTTTAATAAAACTCTATGAAAACGTTAGAATTTTGGAAAAAGGACGGCGGATTCGGGTTTGGTACATCGAAAAACCTAAGGAGGAACCTTAGGTTTTCCTGCATACATAGGGACCTGGGAGGTCCCAGGACCCGTCGGCGATCCTAAATCGCTGCTAGAAATTTTCCGGGGACCCCTCGTACTCGAGCATGAGGTCTGTGCAGGTTGTAGGTTGCAGTGGCTGTCTTCTTCTCGGAGAAGATGACCGCGCACGGAGAAGAAAGAAAATAGGGACCCTTCCAGCCTCTCTCCTTGCTTCTGCCATGGTCTCATCCATCGGTGCCACCCACTTCTCCTCCATCTGTCGTCTGGCGGGGCAGTACATAAGCCCAAATTTCCCCAAATTATTTCAACCACCTTAGTAATTTTTGTTATGGGTGAAATTTCCTGCATAAGGTTAGTAAGATGGATATGATCTGTCATGGGTTGGTGAAATTTGGGGGTGGAGCTGCCATGGCTTCGGGAGAATGGGGAGGGAGGTGGTTGGTGGAGGTATGGCAGCTGTGTTCTTAGTGAGAGAGAAAGTGGATGTTTGGAAACTAGTAAAAGAGAAAAATGGTGTGTTTGGTTAGAAAGATAGTGGGAGTTTGGGAAGAGTTTTATTTGACTGGTGTTTTAAATTTAGTGGTCCATATTAGATAATCAATAACTTAGGTAGTAACTTATGAAACCTTGTAATGGACGCTTGAATTATGATTTTATAATTTGTAATATTGTTTTGCATATGATTTTTGAATGAAATGTATTATATTTAAATTTTCAATGTTGTTTTTGTGTATAAATTTTTTGACCTTTATTATTGAGACCCCCCGAGTTTAAAATCCTGGATCCGCCACTGTCAGGAGGGAACTCATAATGTAGTAGATATTCCTCAATGCAAAGGTCCCAATCCTAATGACTTTATATTTTATATTTAATCCTGGATTAGTGCTAAATTTTATATTTTTTTTAGTTTAATTTGTGTTTTCTTTTCTGTTTTTGCAGCTCATCGTCCAAGTATAATTGCTGCTATGGAGCTGCTTAAACAATGTCCCTTTTTGGTTATTAAAACTCAATGTTACCTGCTTTCATTTCCAGTTTTTGAGTCTTCTATTCTACATTTTTAATAAGAAGCCGACGGTGCTGGTGGTGGGCGGATGGCTAACATGGTTAGTCCGACCTAGAACTGGATTGTGTAATCTAGCTAGCCTTTCTATTTGTTTACTTGCTGCAATTATTCAACTTATGCTGCTATAATATTTGCTTCCTTCTGTTTTGTCCTCTACCATTTGGATCATGTGAATGACAACTTTCATGTATATTTCGAATAATGAGCAGTTTATTGCTGTTAATCTTTTGATCACTGTATATGTTGCTAATTTACCTTCTCAAACAACGTACATGTAAACATTGGTATATAAAACTTATTTATATGTTAATTGTATGGTTTCTTTACTTTTGAGTTTGGTTGAATAACAACATTTTCTACTTTCTAGAGTTCATCCTCTTTATTTTAGCCCAGGCCAACCCACTCCACTCTGTTCGAAGCTCTTCAACTTTTTCACACAAATTACTTAAAAATTCCTGCTCTCAAACATCTTAGATCCCTCACTCACTCTTCTGGCATTGACGCCCCAAAGGTATATTTCTCTCATTGCATTCAAAATTCAGTATATATATTGGGGCCAAGATTATGATGAGAAAGGACAGTAAATAGCTATCAATATGTGAATGTCTTATTTTCTTTCACTATGTAATAGCATCACTAACTTTTGTCTTTACTGTCTTATTGTATTTCCCATGTTGAGAGATAGAACTAAAAGGACAGTCGAATAATGGAACAGAGTCGGTATCTGGTAATCTTTCTACTTTACCAAAGCCAATTGCAATTTGTTTTGGAACAAAGAAAGATGCTCTGTTAATCTAGGGATATGGCACCCCCTTGGTTTTTGGATAGGATTTGGTGCATTATCGAATAAGAACTTTTTTTCCTTTAGAATTATCGAATCAGTGCTTATGTATGCTGTCTGCAGATGTTACAGTAACAACTGCAAATACAAGTCGAGAGGAAGATCATATTCCTTTTGTGGTGCAGCTGGGGTTTGTTATCATATGCGATGCTTTTTGTTGTATGGCCATATGAAGCTGCAGATGCAAATATTTCTTAAGGTAGCCTTCTTCACTATGAATAGATTCATACACGCATACTTATTCACGCTTGCATACAAGCTTTGGGGTTGCTAAAATTTTCCTTTGGGTTTCATAGGTACATGATGATCCTTCTTACGCTCCAGTTTGATGGTCCAACTCAATGGGTGAGTAATGCCGTTTATTTTCATGCGCATGTTTTCTAGAAGTTCATTCCTGTTTTGGGATGTTTGAATATATAGGCATTGTTTAAATTACAATATTTTATTAAGTTAAATTGTTTAAATTACTTTTTATTTATAATTTTAGCCCTTGCACCACTTTGAGAGACTGCTGGTAGAGCTCATAGCAATTGATGTAAGTCCCTTACTTCCGTAATAAGGTACTTGGAGTGACTGCTGTTAAAGCTCATAGCAATTGCTGTAAGTCCCTTACTTCCATAATACAGACACTTACATTTATGATCATTTTTGCGTTAAGACAATACAGTTATAACTTATAACCGTCACATAGATCAACGCATATGTATATCGAATTTACCTGCATTACTCGAACAATTTGCTTTTCAATTCGCGAAGGGAATTAATAAAATCCAATATCTGTGTAAAAGTTTAGTTTCCAACTTTCTAGCAGTGAAAATGTTGCCCTTTCTGCAGACTACACCCTTTACACACTCACTTTGACATGGTTAAACATATATATTCAAGATTTTGATCTCTGTGTGATTTGGCAATACTTTTCACCTAATATTCCTCTCTCTCTCTCTCTCATGAAGGCACTCATTGGATTAAAAAAAGGTTAATCAAATATAGTCGGAAAGGGAAGCCAAAACTTCATCCATTCAGAATTTCAACTGTGAGTAATTTCCTTAAGAGAAGAACAAGTTTGAATCACTTTTTTTGTAATTGTGTATATTATAGTTCTTTGAATGAAAATCCTAATTTGTACAAATTACAAGGTATGTTACCACCGTCCTTAATCTACATATATGCAATGTGCAAAATTATCTATACTAAAGTAGGGGGAGGGCAGGCACTATTCACGTTTGTTTTTATTTTGCTTTATTTACAACAGTACCAGCCGAATGGGAGTGGGTTGGGAGGGTGATTCTCAAAATTTCAGAGGGTAATTTTGTCCATATGGCTTATCAGGGAGCCACTCGATTTCACGCTATTTACAACAAAACCGTAAGGTTTGGGCTGGTATTGGGGCTGGGTTGGAAGGGCAATTTTGTCCTGTGTGTTTGAGACGGATTGGGGTGGGTTTGGGTTTGCTGTCATTCAGTGAGGGTTTCGGGGATGAAAGGCCATGCCTTCGATAGAGAGAGACAGAGACAGAGACAGAGACAGAGACAGAGCGACAGAGAAAGGGAGAGGGAGGAGTGGCGACCTCAGCGCCATTGCTGCAGATCCTCGATTTCATGAGTGGGAGAGACGTTTGGAGATTTTTTTTCCCACTTTTTGAGGGACGGATGGACAGGGAGGGAGAGAGAGAGAGGGCAGAGAGCATGTTGTGCGTTTTTTGTACGTTTTCTGTGTGAATCTGAAGCTGTTGTTATCATCTTTTCTCAAACAGGCAAGCTCTCTGATTTCTCAAGCTCCAGGTACCAACCCTGTACTCGATTTTTCCTAACTTGAACAAATATAACCAAGTACAGGACTTGATAACTTCTCTCTTTCTAAGAGAGAGAGTCTGATTTTGTATTTGGTTTGCAGGAAGCATCCTTCTTCGAGTTTTAGGGTTTCATTATGTGAGCTTCCAAGCTTTTTCTGGGTCAGGTATATAATTTATCTCTTTGGTGTTAATTTCTTTTTGTTTGGGTTTTTTGATTGTTTGTGCTTCCATTTTTCCCTGAAACTTAAAAACACCAAAAAAAAAAAAAGTAATAGTGATGATTAAATTTTGGGCTTTGGTTTGCATGTTTCGGTTTTTTACTGTGGGTGAGCAATTTTTTATTTTAGTGTTTTAATTAAAGGGCTAAACATTTGTCAGGAATACATATGTATGATCATGATTAATTTTTGGGTTTAATTTAGCTGTTTCGGTTTTTACTGTGGGTGAATAATTTATTTTTATTTTTATTAAAATGCCAGAGATAAGTTCTTCTTTTTATGGTTGTGAATATATATATGTGAACATATAATATCTTCGTTTGGAGTGAATCAAAAAGCTTACTACGGTAAAATTATATTTTGTGGTACTTGAATATTAGCCCATGGTATAATCAGTTTCTACTGAAAGTCTAGAAATCAAAGGACCCCAAATTTGCCAGAAAACAAGTAGAGGTTGGTTACTAAGCTAAAAGAACAAGTGGTATTTTTTGGTTAATTGGTTGGGTTTTCGGATGGCTCTTCTGGGTTGTTGTTAATTGTATGTTTTCTGATTGAATTTGGCATCTATTTATCCAACGGATTAGTGAGCTAAAACTACAAGTGGGGTTGTTTTGATTTTTGGGTTGTTTAATTTTCTGTTATTTTATTGAATTGGATTTTATTCAATGGGGTTAGTGAACTAAAAGTGTAATTGGGTTTGTTTGGTTTTGAATATCAGAGTCTTACATATTTGATTATTTATTGTATTTCTCCATCTAATGCATATGTGAAAATCATGAAGTTAGAAGATCTTGGCTTAATTCACTTTATAACTTACAGTGCATGCATGCTACCAAGGTTAGAGGTAGAACACTGGAATGTCAACTTAAATTTATATATTGCTTAATTTGATTCCTCTGTTCTGTTAAAGCTCACAGAGATGGTGGGGATGATGAATTACTTTATTTTTATTGTATTATAAATAGTCTGTTTTTTTTATTTCCCCCGAAAGTCTGCTTTGCTATTTAATCCTTCTTTGCAGGCAAGCATTTTAGGTTTGAATGCAAAATGTTTCCTCAAAATAGGAGGTTTGGTCATTTGCTTCTCGACTTAAATTGGATTGGTTTTTTTAAATTTTTATTACATGGTGTTTTTAGTGATGTTGTTGCAGCTTTGAAAAAACAAATTTGAGGTTTTTATTTAGTGAGACAAATGAGTTTTTATTTGGTTAAAGAGGGGGTGGGGAAGAATAGAGAGGGAGGTAAATTGTGCTAATAGCTGCTCGAATAGGTTGTTAGTATATGGATGGTTAGATTAGGAATTTTTTTATTGCATTTTGTGATTGGGATCTAATTGCAGGTTTCATGTTGTATGTCTCAATCTTTAGATATAAATTATTTGATTAATACATGGTGTTGGCTGATTTAAGAGCGCACACACTTATAATCTCTTTTAATACCATGTTAGAATACGAACGTCCACCTCAAAACCAGCAACAATAATAAGTTGACAGTTGATCGTTTAAACTTATCTGCAAGGCTTTTTACTTTACAGATAGTTCATGCTCTTAACAGTTAGCAATGTATTTAGCAGTTTTTTAACATGAAGTAAATCTCTGTGTTTGAAATCTCACACTTGACCTGATTGGAGTCTAAGGTTTACAGCTATATTATTTAATTGTTGAATTTTTCTTCATGGAATACCCTGCATTTTTCTGCCTTTTCTTTTTAGTGATTTTTTAACCTTTTTTTTTTCTTCATGGAATACTCACATTTTTCTGCCTCTTCTTCTTTTGCTTCGGTTGCTGAAGCACCACCTTAATGGCCACATCAAAAGCAGCTTTCACATTCAATTTTTTTCTCCCCAAAAGCTACAAACGTAGCTCCAATGATGGGTCGAGTAAGGTCCCTCAGTCCATGATTCACTCTCGATCATCCGTTCCCTTTTGCATGTCGGATGAGTGGCTGGATTTCAAAAGCTAAGTTCAATTTTTAATTCGATTCTTTACTGTTAGCATAGATTGTCATCATTTCTGCCTTTTTGCTGTGAATTATTTCCAGATTTTGTTGCACTGTTAGGTCAGGTTTTGAGGGTTCCTTTATTTGGTTTTGGGGGTTCCTTTATTTGTTTCGTTTCTCTGTGTTCTATGTATTGTTCTTAAGTAAGGTCAGTTTCCTTTATTTTTTTTGGGTTTTCAGTTCGTTAATCTGTGACTCTGTGTTTAGATTTTTCGTTCGTGTATGATTAAACGGGTATTGGGTTTTGGTTGTTGAAATTATGATTTTTTTCCTGCTTAAGCTTCTTGCTCATTTTTCTGGAAATGGGAAAAATTGAGGAAATTGATAAAAATGGAAATGGGAAAGATTGGTTTTTTAATTTTTGGTTTTGTGTTTCTGCAGGTGAAGTTTCTTTGCCGGGTGGGAAAACAGAGGAGGGGGACAAGGACGATGGGGACACGGCGACGAGGGAGGCGAAAGAGGAGATTGGTTCGGATCCTAAGCTAGGTATAAATGTTTGATCTTTCATCACTATTTGTTTCAAATTTAAGTTTGATTGAGCTCAAATATGTGCATTTGAGTGGACACAGAACTTGGTTAGTTGAATTATATGTTTGCGAAATTGCAGATTGATGCGTTAGTTTCTTTGTATTGGAAGGTGAAGGTTGGGAACTTGAGTTGAGTTGAGGCTAGAAAGAAAAGCTCGGGACTTATCATTTACTTTTGTTTGCATTCGAAATGAGTTTGAATGTAAGGTTTAGGGTATTAATTTAAAAACCAAAAACTGAGTAATCATACTGGTAGATTAGAGGTGTTCTTTAAGAAGTATCTAGCTGACACGGTCATTTAGTTTGTAATGTACTCATTCGTTCTTCGTGTTGTTCTGTTAAGTACACGTCCTTAATATCTACTAATTTTAATCATGTGCATCTGAGTTTTCAAGATACATTCTCGGAATCCATAATTTGTTGACGGGTTGGAGGGAGAGGATCGTTGGGATTTTTGACTCGGGTGCGGGTGGGTGTGGCTGTGGGTGATGCATCGGTCAGAGGGTTGTTGGGGGGAGGAGAAGAGGGGGACAGAGAGACTGACAGATTGGAGAGAAATGGTAGCTACGGGTTTCGACTGAGTGGGAGAGAGATTTAGCTAGGTCCTCTGCCAGGACCTATGGGATTTTGTCCACTTTTAGACAAAGGCCGGCAATGGTTGGCTTGGTGTTTGTGTGCACCGAGCGAAATGTCAAGAAAGAAAGGTGAGAGATATAGTGAGTGGTGGAGAGGGGATGGGACATGACGGTGTGGCGGGTTGGTGGGTTGCCAAAGTAGCGGGTTAGGTGCTAATAGCTGCTCGAATGGGCTATTAGTATAGGGATGGTTAGATTAGGATTTTTTTGGCATTTTGTGATTGGGATCTAATTGCAGGTTTCGTGTTTCATGTCTCCATCTTTAGATGTTAATTATTTGATTAATACATGGTGTTGGGTGGTTTAAGAGCACACACGCTTATAATCTCTTTTAATACCTTATTAGAATGTGAACATCCAGCTAAAAAACAGTAACAATCATAAGTTGAATGTTGATTGTTTAAACTTATCTGCAAGTCTTTTTACTTTATAGATTTGTAGTTCATACTCTTAACAGTTGGCAATGTATTTGGCAGTTTTTAAACATGGAGTAAATCTCCGTGTTTGAAATCTCACACTTGACCTGATTGGAGCCTAAGGTTTACAACTATGTTATGTTTTCTTCGTTTGTGTTGTCTCATGCCTAAAAAAACCCAATATATGCAGCAGGGCTGTTAAAATTGAGCGGATTTTTTTTCAGATTCCAATTTTAGTTGGTTTCTGTAAAGATTGTAATGGTTTCCTGTTTTTAAACTCTGAAAATTTTACTTGGTTTGTTTTTAATTTTTAGTTAGGTTCTCTAAAAAAATATGTCTTTCAGTGTCTGTCCTCTGTGTGTGTTGTTAGTTTGGGCTGTTTCTGGATTCTTAAATTGTGGTCATTAATGTCGTTTTTAGCTTTGAATTAAGTTGGAACTACTAATTTAACTAGAGTGTTATATGCTTACGTTACAAACCAGTTTATCATTTTCATAGAAAATAACTTCAATGAGGAGCGAACTTGAAGCTGAGCTGACAGGTTTGCAGCTTCAGCATGAAGATGAGTGTGAGAAGATGCAGGATGAATTGGATCTTCAAAAGTCTAAAGTACATATCTACCATTAAGTAATTGATGTTTTTGTACCTTTTACTTACAGAATGATAATTCGCAGGAGGAGAAGCAGAGGGCATTACTGCAAATGCAATGGAGAGTTTTGGTAATAAGCCATAAGAGGACCAATTCAAAGAAGGTTGGCTTTATAATAGATAACTCTCTCTCTCTCTCTCTCACATCCACAAACACAGATTCAATTACTATAAGTTGTTTAGTTGCAGTTGATTGGATGTATTAGTTAATCTTAATTTTAGTCCACATAAATTACTATGGCTGTGGAAATTGAACTAAAAAGTACATTTCTTTTTTAAAATTGAATTTTTTTTTTAATGCTACCAGGAAATAGGTGGTTGCAAATTATTTACTCCACTAATGAAGAATTTGTTAAATGCCATCTGTCTCCATCTAAAATGTGCCCTTTTTTTTCTTAGATAAACAATCTTTTCACTATCTTGCACGCTTCGGCAACAAAGATTAATAAAACTGCACATCTATTATAGACAGAGAGATGTAGGGAGAAGTTGGAATTGGAGAGAGAGAGGGTGAGGGAGGGATGGGGTTGCTTTCCGAAGATTTGTTTCGAATTGTTTCTCCAGTTCTTTCTATTTGTTTGGGATTGTTTCTTTTTTACTGAATTATTTTGGTCCATGCCACTAAAATCTGATTTATGCTATTAATTGCTGCTTAAATGTGACTTTTGGTATTAATTTTTTACCTTTCATGTTTATGCTGCGTTTGGATTCCATTCGAATCAAATAATGTCGTTAATCTTGATATGAATTCTCTCTGCAACAATAATTAGGGACTTTAGTTTAAATTATCACTAATTTGTTCTTGCTTTGGCCTTGAATCTTGGTTAATTTGGACTGCAGGTGGTTCTGATATGGAGGAGAAGCTGCAAGAGCTTATGATCTTGCTGCACTTAAGTACGACTGTTCTTTAACTCATATAAACTTTTCGGTAGGGTTCAAACTGTTAAGAGTTTTATGATTTTGCAAAAGCTTTTAGTAGCAGTAACTTGGTCTATTTGCAATTGCATTATTACACTATACAAAGCTAGCAGCAGCTTAACCCCATTCACAAATACATATTTACTTTGTCCTTGGCGTCTACGCTTATTGCTGTCACTTCTCTTTTGTACACTTCCTCCTTTTTGACGAAATTACAGTTTGCCCTCAGTCTCCGGCTTTCTTTTGCAGTTACACCCCTGTGCTCTCACAGAGGGAAGCTCATGGCTGACACTGTCGCTTAGGGTATTTAATCTTTGGCATGCCATTGTCTTTATTTAATCATTCTTTGAATGAAATTCCGATAGACATCTACGTCGTAGTTTGACTTTGTTTTTCATTGCACAATCTGAGTTGCCCCAATATCTTTTGTATGCAATTTGGTGTAGACAAGTGGTTTTTGATGATTTGGTATCTACAATTAATTACCCATACAAGCATGAGTTTCGATTGCGGTCTCGATTTTTCCTTCAATCTGCATTTGATTTTTCTATTTTTTGTTTGTTGCAGCTGTCGATTATCTGCGCATTATTTTGCTTTTTTGAAATTTTGATTGCAGTTTGCTTTCTGCTGGACGTTAAACGTTTTTGTTCAATGATTATATATAGCTTCAGATGAGGAGACTAAAGAATGAGTTTTGGATCCTAATTATGGCTGCTCTTTCCTTGGAATGGGAAGTGCTTTCAATTCTTCTTCGTTTTCTTTTCTTTTTGGAAGGCATGAGTCTGAAGTTTGATCATTGAGTTTAACAAACAAATATCGAGATATAAAAATTGAATTTAAATTTGTAAATGAATTATCTATTTTTTTTGAGATTTGTGTTCGCATGCTAAAACAAAGTATAGTAATGATTGTTAGTTTGCTTGGACGAGATGGAATCCAAATTTATGGGACTAGAGGAGAAGTAAAAAACTTTTTTTGGCCCTTTATGGATCCTACAAATGGTTAGGTAAAAACAGCAAGGGTTGTGAATAATTTTAATCATTCTTTTTCTTTTATTCCAATGGATTTTTTTATTCATTTTATCATTGGGAACAGTTTTAATCGCATCAAATAATATTTTTGAAATTTTGATTCTATCCTCTGAATCAATTCTTTTACTTATTGGCTGAACCTTTTACTTCCCTTCCAAACTTGAAAGCAGGAGGCCAAGTCTCCTGACTGGTCCAAGGGCTAGGAGGTCAACCTTGAGCAACCTGCCAAGAGGATTTTACCGACATGGTTTGGTTTCTGAACCTCATCATGTCTCCATATATTTTTTTTTTATATATATAGAATGCTTCTATCTGCAGATCAAAACACATCATTTTCTGAATTTTCAGGGAATGAAAATTCAATCAACCAGCATTGATTCTACCTAATGTTAGGTTATGCCACTGGATCTCTTATTCATAGTGGAAAAACTGAGTTCGTACCTGTTATCCTATTTCTCATTTATTAAGTCTGCTAATCCTTTTTCTTCTTAATTCTATTTGTTGCTGCTGGTTCCGATATTTCAGGGTCCTATCTGTGTATAATGTATTTGCCACTTTTGTTGTTCTTATCAATATTTACATCTTAATTTTTTTCAATTTGTTTCTTTTACTTAACATGGTTTCAACTTCTTGAGATTGTGAGTTTAATTAAGATTTTATCATATGATATCAAAGTTTAAATTTGATAGTTTTTTGAACCGAAATTGTGTCTTTTAATGTGAATAAATTCTGTTAACAAGGATTTTGGTCTCTAAATTTTTCGTAGTGTAATTTTTATGGTATAATTTATGCCATTGTCTTTGTTTTTGTACTTCTCCCATTTGTATGTAAATTCAGTTAATTGGTGAAATTTTTGGGTCTGCGAATTCAATGAATTGGCCAGATGGACCCATAATTAATGCAGTAATAGTTGATTTCATTTTGGAAAAACTGGTGCTGGCCAAAGAGAGGTCATGATGTCCCATATTGTATGAACTTTATGTCAATAATGATAGATTGTAAGGTAATTGAGGTTTGTGCAGACAATAACTATTAATACGAATGGATGGACCGATGTCGGGGGTACTGTTAAATTATGTATAAGACATTCTTTCTGTGACGTTGGAACCCAAAATTGGGATGCATTTAAACTTAAGGTATTATATATATGGGTGATTTCCTTCTTTTTCGTTTCTTTGATATGCATGATTGGGGAAAAGCAGGAAAGACCTACTCACACAAGATATGTATCAATGTAGGTTCTAAAGTCGATTTCTTTTTCTATATGTGTGCATATTACAGAGGCAAGGAGGATAGGGGTTGAAGTTTAAGAGATGTGTGAGATAGATTTCAAGCTTATTCAGTAAGTCTCTAATTAAGTCCGAATAAACTGCCTTCATTTCTTTTCTATCCATCCTTTAATTTTACTTGGATAATTTTATTTTATGTAATGATTTCTTCTGGGTTTTTTCCATTTCATATTTTAAATACATTGAAGGTTGAAGATGGAGACAACAATGGAATTCTGGATGCCGAGGAGAAGAAGCCTGGCATTATTACATCTTTATTTTTGAGTGAGTATCTCTTTCTTTTCTTCTGATTTTGCTTCTTTCTTTTAGTTGTTGAATATTTCAAATTTTCAACTCACATGTTCATATACATTGTTGAGGAGTGTATTTTGCTATTAACAGGCCATGATTTTTAGTAATTGTTTTTTAATTTTTATGGTATTATTTTTCCCAAACCTAAAAATCATAGCAAAGCTTTTTCAAACGAAATTTTTTTAAAGTATTGCGAAATGGATAATGGCATAAAAAATTATGTTGCAAGTAACTTGACACACTATAGTAGGTTTTCTTTTTGGCATGTATGTGTTTCTTATTCGCATTCATGATTCCGTTATCATTTACATTTACTTTTGCATGATTTCTCATAAATTGGATGCGAATCTATTTATTGTAAAAATAACTTTTTTAGCCAAGCAAATGATTTGATTGAGCAACAGATGCATCAATCATATACCGCAAGTATGCGATGCCCAAGACATTATAGTGCCTCCAAATTATCACTCTCTTTGGTTTTGGACAGATTACATTAGATTTTATTGTTTATTTGATGAAGTTCTCGATTAAGAGCATATATATTTTTCAATTTATCCCCTTTTTTATCCCCATTTGCACGTGTTTGTTAGCACTTTGAATACCTTATCCCCAATTTTCAAGATCATGCAAAACAATGTGACATTGCCTTTCTGTTTATCTTAACATTGCCTCTCTGTTTTTGATATCTTTGTTTATCTCTCTGAGAGAGAGGAGTGCATTGTTGTCACATAATCACATTACATGTTTCATTATCAAACTGTATACAATTTCTGATTCTTTCACGTCTCAGACAATATAAGGATCTTGAACCCGAAGAAGACAACAAATGACAGGCAGCTATGTACTGGTGAACTACAAGCATCTGTATTTCATTACAAAATCAGGTGAAATACAGGTGTTTTTATATGCAAAAAAGTCAGGTATGGTGTAATAATAACTTTCTCATGCTATTCTATTTGATTCTTTAATCAAAGTTTTGTAGTTTTTAGTAGTCAAATTTTCTCAAGACGATTTGAGTGGGGAAAAACAATGTCAAACATATGTCGTATATATAAACGTTTCTTTTGGTTGTGAAGATACACTATGGAGCGTGTGCATATTTGAATTTTCAGTTTCGTCAAGTGTATTCAATCTCCCATTTCATTATAGAGACCTCACGTAGTACCTAATTTAAGATGCATGCTTCAGTACAATCGAATGGAAAAAAAAAATACCATTGCAATGTTGGTATTTCGTATATCTTATTTTTAACTACGTTTTCTATTGCAAGTTATTGCCACAACAATTTATATGCGCAATGTCCATTTGGCTATTATGCATGCATTATTTATTCTAAGTGAGGAACGCTTTAATTAGTTCCTCCCTCATTTTTCAGGTACAAAATGGTGCTGAAAGTTTTCCTCATTATGCTCCTATGCCCAGTTGGTCGGGTGTATATGACATGCAGTGAGCACAGGGACACAGATAGGTTAGTTTATCCATGATGCTGAGCAATGTCTTGAATGGTATCTGGGTTGCCACGTTTTAGATGCTTAGATCTGTGATTGAAGTGTTATCTGTAGTTTTTCTTTTTGGAATTCATAATGTTTGCAACTATAAAAAATAATATTCTTTTATACCTGTGTTTCTCTTTTCTTTTTTTTCATGAGAAATTAATTGTCATTGGCAGCACTATAGAAAACCATCTTTCTGCATTATTCTCCACTTCATACAGAATTACATGATTTTAGGTTTAATATCAGATGTCTTGTATGTGTAAAATGCATGTTGCTTTTGTTTCTCAGGTAAGCAGAACATTTTTTACAATCACATCTTTTGTAATCAGCTTGGTTGAATGTATATAAAAACTAAGCTGTTTTACTTACGAACACTGTTCACTCAGCTATCCTTTTTGTTCGTTCATGATTATGTTGAATTTTTTTCATGTTAAATGTGTCTTATTCATGTTGTTAAGGCTGGTGCATTCAAGTCCCGCAGCAGCGCGCAGGCCTATTACTAGTTACATCTATTCTTAAGAATGAACCTGTTTTGTTCCATCCTTCTGTTAAGGATTATAATTTATGTAAAATTTATAAGTTTTCTCTCTTTCGGGTTACTTTATGTTTCGAATTAGTTGGGTTTAGCATTCTTCATAAGCTTTGATAATTGTTTAATTTCTAAGTTTTGTTCCATGCATGGTTGATTTACAGTTTGACATTCTCGACGATGATGATAATTGAATTCAGGATTATGATTCACCCCGAACAAGGACGGATATGTTGTCTATGCCAACAAGGGTGTAAGGTGAGATATAGTTTTCGTTATGTCATTGTAGTAGCTTGGCATTTTCCAAGGACTTTTAATTGCTGCTGCATTGTTGAGTACATTAAGAATGATGTGGTAAACCGGAGAGGGAGTCATCAGCTTATGGACGTGTTAACACATCCAATGTGTTGTAATCTTTTTGCTACTTAAACATGTTAAGACATCAATTCTAAAAAAAATTTGGTCTGCTACTTTACTTATGGTGTTGTTGGTTTACTCCAATCATAATACCTAGCTAGGATAGCCTTTCTTTATGTCTTAATTATTGATAGTGCTATATCATCATTGCAGGCTATGTTGGAGCAAAAACTGTGCAGGCAAAGACATAAGAGTGATGGATTTTGGAATGAAATGCAGAGGATATCATTTTGTGCTGCTTAAGTAAAAGTTTCCTCTTCTGTTATATTTGTGTGTTGGATATTGTAGAAAATTAATATAAGTTGTATATTCATGATAACTGATTGATTAAGATTACTTATAAGGGGTATATATGCACAGAAGAGCTCTGCATGAGGGTGCTATTGGTTTACCTTGACTGGATGTGTTGCAGGTGTGGGGTTGTTAAAAAAAATAGGTTTTAAAGGATCCTTTGCAGATGCAGGATCTTCTGCTAAGTTATGGGAATTCCTATTATTAAATGATAGCATTGCAATCCGAGTGTAATTAGTTTAGTTTAGTATATTTTATTTTATTTTATTTTTTTTGTGAAATGCTATTTACAATGTAATAATGTTTCTTTGAATTCAGTTGTTAAGGTTTCTTTTTATATTTTCCCCCCTTTAGACATTTGCAGATTTGTCCGGAGTGTGTGAGTTGCTGCAGCCAAAACAGGTGTTCTCTCCATTTTTCATCTCTTCCATACTCAAACCCTAGCCGCTCCACCTCTCTCTCCCATACATAAGCAAACTCCATCTGAAAGCCGAAGAATCCAAAGGTAAATCCCTTCGAACTCTGCAATTATCAACCAGATTTCATACTTTTTTTGGGATATACACTGCTATTTCATATAGTGTTATTTCAATAGTTTAATCCTAAGACCTAGATCATGACATCAGAATTTCGATTGATTTAGCTTTTGTCCTATGCCTTTTTTGTAGGCACAACAGGGATTGTAGACTACACAAAGTTAGAAGATATGAAGTATGCGGTAAGTCCTTTTACTTTCTCACTCCAGAGTCCAGACATTCATATTTTCTCAACCTTCTATGGAGCATGGGTACTAGGTTGTTGAATATTGCTTTCTCAATATGTCGATGTGTCTAAAGCGTCTATAAGAATCTCAAACTTCATAAATAATTTCCATGCAGATCAAAAAGCTTGATGGCTCTGAATTCCGAAATGCTTTTGACCACCAATCTGTTCGCGTATGAATCTTACAAGTTGAAAATTTATTTTCTTTCCGCCTGTATTTTTGTTTATCTTTTGCTCTGTTGGGTTTTTTCCAATAACTCAAAGGGGCCGAAAGGTATTCCCTTTTCATATTCTTCTCTCCCAATTTCTTTAGGGTTAATTTTAATTTTCTTATGCTATTTGCAGTGGTGCTGTTTAGGGTTTAACTATTTTATTTCAAGATTCCTTTTAGACACAGTAAATTGTTACATTTTAAATTTGTATTTCATAGCGTGGTTGCTTGATTCTAATGTCGATTTGTTACAACAGAAGTGAACCTTTTTCTTTCAATAATTTAATCTGATGTAACTCTGTTTTTGTTCTCTCATGTCTAGGTTGGTCAAGGACATGGGGAGAAGAGCACTTCGGAAATGGGTATGAAGGGAAATAAACTTTTTGAACTGCATTGGCATCTATTGTTCTGGTTTTTCTTTGACAAGTTAACTTGCTCTCTCTTTGCAGTAAGGTGCACAAATATGGGAAAACCACGACAAGGGAAAGCTGGGATATTGTTGTGGATGAGGAGACCTATTACGAGTGAGTCTGGACTTGGTTCTGGTTCTGTCTGCATATAGTATGTTGAAGCAGTCAAAAGGATTTCAAGGGAACCAAATATAAATAATTTAGATTACATCTTCTGGTATTGCTCTTGCTGTAAAAGTAATTTTGATCTTTCACTTTTTGATAAAGGGCTGAGCCGCATTAGCAGATAAACCTTGCTTCATTCATATATATCCTTCTAAAAAGAACAGATGAATTGCCCTTATCTCAACACTGCTTCTATAAATTGCCCTTTGTACCAGTTTTTTTAAGACGGCCCAGCAGCCCACTACTAATTACCATCAATACTGACCTTAACTTAAGCACGTGTGCAATTCAATAGGTATGGTTTTATACAGAATTAAGGCCTCAAGGCAATTAGTAGTCGAACTTTCTATATAAGAGGATTTAAACCTCAACAAGTTTCCTATGTGGCCATGTGGGACATGCTTCAACACACTTAATTGGTATAAACGGAAAATACACTTCTTTGTGTGTTTTGGATAGAAGGCTGGTTTCTCCATAATCTAGACATTTTGGAGTCCAAGTACGAATCGTGCCGTCAGCTGCTTTGAAGTGGAAAAGCAGATGAACATGCACTGAGGATGGAGTCAAGTTTTGTTGTTATTATTACGTTCTGTTTTGTCAAATGCTGTTTGTTATGGGATTCCTATATTTATTAACAGGGAAAAGCAGATGAACATGCACTGAGGAGCAAGAAAATGGACTCGGATGAAGTCACCAGCAGAAGGATTCGCAGGAGAATAGACAGCAGGGATGTCAATACGGGAAGATCAAACTGCGCGCGTAATAAGATAACTCAGGTCGGACATGCACGCGTACGCACCTAGGGTGTGGCAAGGGCTAGGGGCGTTTACAGCATTGTGCACAGCCTAATGCCTGCTCGTCCCAAATTTGAAGAGGAGCTCATTAAGAACGTTTCTGGTGAAGCAAAGAAGGCGCAAAGGAAAAGGTTCAGGCTATGGTGTTTTATAAAAGCTTGAGGCATTGAGGAACCTCATTTGGACTAGAGTAATGGTTTTCTGAGTTGCATGTTTTTCCGTTTCCTAGTGTCGTCGTTTTTGTCTTAGTTTTTTTAAGGAAGTTTGGGTTGTTGGACTGAAACAATGCTTTTCGGTTTCGTAGTGTTAAAATTTGGACTTGAATTTGATACTATGATTCTATGAACGTGTGTTCAATCTCGACTGACCTCCACATGACTTGGAGCTTACTCTACCTTTACCTCATATCCACCTTCTTTGTAGTATCGATCGAATATGGATCGAGCTGAGGTGGGCTTTACACACACCAGGGTCCAGACTCATCATCTAATGAGTCCATGGGTCCATTTGGTCGCGGTAGGCAATATCCAAGCGCCTCGTCTGTCAGGTCCATCTTAGGCTAATGAAATGGTTGGCCTGACCTGGGATCCAACCTGGTACGAAATGGCTGACCCGACCTGATGAGATGGGCCACGCCTCAACGGGCTTCAAATGGTCGTCAAACCTCACCTCAAACATGAAATCAGATTCTCTTTGAATCTCGCAATCCAAAATCGACAAATCGAGATATCCAAACCGTTCAAGAGAGGGGAGAGACAGATTTGGACCATGTGGGTCAATAGGATAGGCTAATGAAGGCCGTATGATTTAAAATAAGTGGTTTGAGTCTCTACATCCGTTTGCGCTAGATTGTGACATTCGAAGAGGTTCTTGATTCCCCAACCCTGTGATTATCTCAACTCGGCATCGGGTGTTTTACCCCAACGACGTAATCATACATTAAAAACTTCAGTTAGTACTTTTTTTTTTGTGAATACAGAAATTGAGACTTAGTCGTCTTTGTTTTTGTGAAGATATAAGTCTCTTGTCACTTGACTTAAAGGCTTAGTCGTCTTTGTTTGGTTCTGGAGGTCTGTTTTCAGATTTTCTTTGTATCCGTCCCCAATCTGCATGTACTTTTTCAAATTT